ATGAGCTCTTATCGTTAGCGTAAGGCATTACGTATGCCCACAGGCCGAAATAAACATCTTACATCCTGTTTTCTCAAAGAGCCACAACAAGAGAAGGTATCTCAGTTAAAAGGAGTCTTTTAATAACCCAAGTCTGACTCAGTATCCAAACCCAAGTCTCAGACTTGGGTACCCAATACCCAAACCCAAGTCCGAGACTTGGGTACCCAATCCCAAACCCAAGTCCAGACTTGGGTTTGGGTTTGTAACATACCTAGTAAAACATAACCTTACATACTTACTTGGCCCTTAATCTACGTAAAAGCTGGCTTGGAATATGTGTTTTCTAGTCATCTATGGTTCTAGTAATTTACGGTCTTGATACAATTGTATCAAGACATACATACGATACATATCTTAAGATATATATCGTTTTGGTTTAATTTCTTTCCGTTCCTGAGACACAGCACTTTTTTTGGACCCTCCTCTTTTTGCATAAAATAGAACACCTGAGTCGCCAATAAAGCTGCCAGTTTTTGTTCGAATATTGTGAAAATCCGGATTTATAGATGAAAACTGACGATAAATCCAATGAAAATATTTTCAGGATCATAGAGGTCCCTCAGACGATTTCTACAAAATCAGCTCTTCAGAAAACCTTTCGAAAACTCAGAATTTCGAAAATGATATTGTTCGGTAGAGAATTAGATTTTGAACAAAATTAGACTCTCCGATGCTTTTTAGTTATTTCAGACTCAAGTTGTCAATCTGGCTGTTAACAGACAAAAATTATCGTATATCAACAGATAGATTATCACGAGTAATTAAAACAAGCAAAGAAAAATACAAACAATTCATCTGGTTTTACTCTTTATCGATTCGAATTACCATGACTTTCCGGCTTTCTCTTCGGGCCATGATAATCAGAGATAATGTGTGTAAAACAGAAATAAAAATGATTAAAAGGCTGTTATTATCCATAGTCAGTATCTTCTTGAAAAAAGTGACGTTAAATATAAACATTTTTGCTTTAACATTTTAACATAACACTTTATTCAACATTTTAGAGAAGAGAGAGATTTTTAGATCCTTATTTTACTTTAGCTCATGATTTCTCTCTGGATGAATCCAACTATAATGTCTATTCATATCTGCTTTAGATGAATACACATATTGATCCGAACAAATTGAGCAATGTACGGAAAATTGTTTTTCTTTATGAATTGTATAATCTGAACGTGCGTTAAGTTCATCATTAAGTTCACCAGAAAGCTTTTCGCCGGTCAAAAGTTTACCAGAGAAGTTTACCAGAAGAAAATTTTACCAGAGTGAGTACGTGTTTTGAAGCCAAGTATGGAATAGAAGTCAAGTATGGAATAGAAGTCAAGTCTATCAAGTCAGCATCAGTCCACGAGTTATGTGACTCTCAAAAGTTTGAAAGCATCATAGTGTTATTTACTCAATTTGTGTAATTCATCGAGTCTCTGTAATTTGATTTGGTTTTATCTGACCCCAAAGAACCCCAGAGGTCTAACAATATTTCGAAATTCCAGACAAAGCTCACACGTCCCTTCGATCCGCGCTCGCAGCCACGACAGGCGTTACACGTCTCTGATTCCACAGAAAACCCGAACGCATCTACCGATGTGGATCTTTATCCTTGATACTCATTAGTGCTTCTGTGTATGTACGTCCGTCACACCTCTGTACGGACAAACACACACACAAACACTTTGAGTTTTTCGTATGACGAAATTTTTTTTGTATGACCATAGACTTACAGTCAATGGAATAAATAACTGATAAACAGCTAATAAATTATCCAATGCAAATATTTATACAAAATATAGTCAGCATGTGTATTATTTGACTGTGTTGCTAGGGATTTATATATGGCTCATTCTACGATTATAAATATATTTTAAACAGTGTTGTTGTCGTTGATAGTACCATTATGATAGACGAATTATTTAATCGATTACGAACACAATTTATCACTGGTAGTATTATTGAAGGTCAAGTGTATAATAAATATCAATGTGATGATATACCAGACATTGATTTGATGATAAATTATCGTGCGATTAATTCACAAGATGAATTACTGCCAACATCATCCATTCCCGGTTATGTTTATGTCAAATGGAATTCAACAACACTTGGAACGCTTCCATATGAAATACATCCACAACAAAATATTCGTTGTATAAACGGTTTCGAGTTAAAAAGTGGACACATATATGCTTCTACATCAGATCCACTACAATATCAAACATCAACGGATGTTGATAGTGCTAGTGTTCGGGTAACTACAAATTTGCGTGATCTTACAGTAATAGCAAAAGAATTTGATGTAGTATTACGACGTGCTGAATCATTTCAACGAGATCACACTCAAAAAGGTAAAGAATTTTTAATATTATTTACAAATGTATTAAACATTTTCAGTTATATTAGACCTTCTATGCTAATGTCAGTACCTGAGGCGGATTCATTTTTAAATGTGGAAGTAATTGAAAATATGCTACATTTATGCTCACCAGCATTTGGTTATCAATTATCAGATGACAACAAAAGCAAATCAGAAGCACTTATCAATTATTATTTAAAATATAAACATACAATTGATAAAAAAATATCAATTCAAAATGCTAACGCCGGATTCCAAATTTTTCACAATGATCTTGATTATGTACCTTCATTGAAACTTAATTTTTGACCACAAGATGTAAAGTTATCATTAGAACGTATAATACAGGCATATAAGTGGAAAAAACCATTATTATTTGATAAATTAAATTCGTCTTATATGCATGTGATACCGAAATGATCAAAAAAGAGTGATGACAGGTATACAAGTATTGAATTTGCTTACTCATTTTCAAATGCTGAAATATTATTGGCATATGAACGTTCATTAAATGAGAAAAGCCTTAATAGTATAGCACGAAGTATCTATTATAAATATTTGTAAAATAAAGGTTACGTATCATCATATTTTAACCCTTTCAGGACCGGTTTAATTTTTATATATACAGTGCTGTTCAAAAGTTTAAGATCTTTTTTATTTTGCAATATCTCGGCTTCCCTGACAGATAGAAACTTCATCCTTTCGTCAAAAGAAGGCTATCACTAAACTCTACGATATGTGAAAGTATCGTTAAGTTTTAACTTATTTTGGCGCAGTTAGGTAGAAAACAGTATTTTCCTAAAAAAACGGAAAAAACGCATCTTCAGTATTTTCGTTTTTCCTAACCCAGAGATTTTCGACAAAAAAATTCAAATGGCAATGTCTCGATAGAGAATTTAAAGAGCTATCTACTGACAAAAACATTTTTGACTTTCGATTCTGGCTTCGTACCCAAAACCCTCTTTTACTGAGCAGGATCGAAATTTTCGGAAAAACTTAGATTTCTAACTCAGAACTAAATATTATTCAAATGTATTATACATCAAAAGATAGAGCGTCAAAAACTGCATAAGATGATGTATTTGAAATTTGATTATGAT